GGATATTGAATTTTATTTAGAAAGTCGTGATTATATAATATCAGTTCATCATATTTTAGGTCGATTTGTACTGATTAACTATCGAATTTTAGCCTGATGAAATGCAAAAGAATATTTGGCTGTTAGACTATATATATAGATTATTATTACATATTACTCAATTTGACCTATATTATAATTTTAACGTAATAATTGCTAATTTTATCTAAAATTATATGTTTTAAATTTTCCTTTACTTAAAAAATACCTGAACTTTGCAGTTTAATGATTCCTGATCTAAATATTCTATTAGAATAATTTCAATATTATCTCTAATCAATATTTATTAAATTACATTAAGATATTTCAAATATATGCACTCAAAAATTTTTATTAAATTTTTAAATTTGAACAAATTTATTTGATGAAATGTTATGGTTCAAACTGTACTATAAATCATTAAGTTATATACTATATAATGAAATATGATAGATGAATAAAAAAGAACTGCTTTGTAATCTACGTTTCTTATTGTTGTTTGATTTTTGTAAATTGGAACTATTAGATGTTGCAATTTTAAATTTTTATTAATAATAATATTTTATTTATAAGTTGATTAGTTTTTTTAATTTATAATTTGCAGTTTAAAAATTAAAACAATAATTGGATATCATCTATCATTCATACTCTTACTACAGCTAAAGACCTTCTTATTTAACATTACAACTGGATTAAGGAAGTTCTTTTAAATGTTGTGAAATCTCAACGTATACTAATGGTTCAGAAGATGATGAATTATTTGATTATGATAAGTTACTGGGTGTAGCGAATGATGATGATGAGGTAGATTTAAATGATTCAGAGAATATTTCGAAGATTATGATTATGAAAATAAATGGAAAATTGGAAAAAAATAAGGATAATGATGAAGATAATGAAGAATTATCTTTCGATGATTCTTAGGAAAGAATATTAATAATGTAGTTGTATTATATTTTATTTGTATAATTTGCATATGTTTAGTATTTAGTAATAGTTACAAGTATCCGATATTTTAAAAATCCGAAAATATTTATGGGTCAATTATTCGTGTAACATGGTCTCACAAAAATGATTTCTCTGTAAAAGGGATAAAAATTTTCATAATAATTATTAAAAACATTAATAATAAAGAAAAAATTGATTATAGTATCGATCTTTAAGAAAGTGAGATTGATATTGACCCGGTCTCACTACGTCAACGATCCCGTACAAGAATCCGACCACCGAATCTATACGATAATCAATGTCGTCAATTTCTTTAATCCTAGAATCGAGAAAAAAAAGTAGATAATAAAAAAAAAAATTATATATATATTAATTTTTTACTTTAATGTTCTACAAAATAAATAAAATTTTAAAAAAAATTTTCAAAGCAAACTAAATGCTATAATGACCATTATTTCATTCATATTAATTCTGTTGACGTAGTGAATATGACTACAAGAAAAAAAGACACTTGATTATCGTATTGTATATTACAATCTAATATCACCCGTTTCGCATCACCGATTACACCCTCCCGAACACTAACTGACCATAAATCACCTTAGAGATACCACATATACCACATCCTTAACCTTTACAAATCTTTATTATTATCCACCAGATAAACTCTCGTGATGAATATGAAATTTCTGACGCCAAACCACATCTACGTCCCCTTTGACCTCCGACTACATATTGGAGACCCTTAACAATGTTGCAGAACCTCTACGACAGCTTCTGCGGAAGGTTCCTGCACCCTGCTGGATCTTTTACAATCCATCAATCACCTACGCATCCCTAACGAGGTACCCACCTGCTTATCATATAAGAATGTTTACAAGAATCACGTTCACCACACCGCAATTAGCAGGTTATCCTAGAATACATGACATCTCTCATAACTATCGACTAATATCTGAAAACGAGAAAAACCAATCATTAATATTAACTTCAATTTAGAATCCATTTCGATCATGATAAACGAGACTAAACCTATCGTTAATGAAAATTTTCCTATAATTTTCTAACTCTGACAAAATGAACACCAGACTAGAAAAAACACGATATAAAAACATTTATTTAAATTTAAATTAACAATCCACAAAAGAAAGAAAAGTAAATTCTCCCAAACTGTAAAGCGATCAAGGAAGCTACTTGTAGCTCTATATACCTTTCCTAAATGAAAAATAGTTCAAATTCCAAGATCCCGTTCCTATTATTTTCCCTACCAACTGTCCAAACTTTTCTCCCGTAATAACCTATTTACTTGTTGACTATATTCACAATCTTTTTCCCAAATTGTAAAATAAACCTTAACAATCCCCAAAATTTAGGGAATTGAATAAAGAATAATATCTTATTCTATCCATTGTCGATGATAAATAAAATTGGTTTCTCCCAAAAACGACCGGTTGGGAGGAAGGAAAACCACAGATCGCCTGCCAAATTCATAAACTGCTTTTTTATTTTTACGATTATTTTGGGATTTTAAAGATAATATAAAGAAGGAAGAAAATTTTGACGCAGTTGACGGAGGTCCGGCGGCGGCGTGGTTTGGCGTTTTCTTCCGTAGAGGAATCATGAAATTTTTCCTCTCTTTTCAAAAAACTTGGACTGTAAAGGTTGACTTCCCAAGAGAATGGGAATAGAGTGTATGTTATACATACTGTATATTTTTTAGTAACGCATTTATGAAATAGAATTTTTTTTTTTTTTTTGGAAACATGGGGGCAGTGGACTTATAGTCCAAGATAAAAAACCAGTTTTTAGTACTTATTACTAGGGTCACACATACGTAGGGGTTGGGAACGGTCCGATCCGGTCCGATCTTTAAAATAGATTGGATTGAGACCGAATCTCATAAGATCATCGGTCTTTTAATTTAGACCGGACCATATTAATAATAAGCGTTTTGTTATCAGTAAAATTGATCTTGAATAATTTTAAGTCATATTTTAACTGGAAAAGGGTCCGTTTCATAAGGTATAATATATACAGTATATTTGTTTCTTGGAGCTTTGCTGCGTCCCGAGATTCTCTCTAAACATTAAAAATTAATTTCAAAAGTCATTTTCTGCTATCGTCGGATCAAACGGTTCGGGAAATCAAATGTGATCGATGCGCTTTTATTGGTATTTGGTTATCGAGCAAATAAAATGAGGCAAGCCAAATTATCAGAACTAATTCATTCATCGCAGGTGTGAAAATCTGGATGCTGATGTATATTTTGAAGAAATTCTTGACTTGGTAAAGAAAAGTTAATTTCCAAAAAAATAAAAAGATAAAAGTTCACTTAAAATAATAACGCATGATGTTTATTAATATTATAGCCTGGTTCGGATAATTATGAGTTTTACCTCGATCTCAATTGGTTATCTCGCGTCAAGCATTTCGTAATAATGCAAGCAAGTATTTCATAAATGGGCGACAAAGCAATTACAC